ACTCACTTAGGAGCCCAAAATATGAAATTAAGACTCCTGAACTGACAATCCTTTTCCTATAGATGAAGAAATGGTTGTTGTTGCTAAGTTCTATGGAGTCAGTTCCAACCACAGTGACTATGTATACAAGCTTTCAGAGGAACCGCTGGTTGGTTTGAACCACCAATCTTGCAGTTAGCAATCCAGTGCTTATTGTGCATCACTACACTAGGACTCCAAGTGAAGAGATGGGCTTCCTTTAAGGGTACAGTGGGCTAAGCATTGGATTGCTAACTACAAGGTCAGGGTTCAAACCCACCAGTGCTCCTTGGGAGAAAGATGAGACTGTCTGTTTCCGTAAAGATTTAGAATCTTTGGACCTCTTAGGAGCAGTTCTGCTCTATCCTATGACCTGGAAGTGGCTTGACAACAGTGGGTCTGGTTTGAGTTGAAGGGTCCAAGGAAGGAGCCCTGGTTAAAGTGCTTACAGTACTCAGCTGCTAACTGAAAGTTTGGCAGTTTGAACCCACCAGCTGCTCGGCAGAAGAAAGGTATGGCAGTCTGTTTCTGTACAGATTTACAACCTTGGAAACTCTCTAGAGTAGTAATACTCTGTCTTACTGGAATCAGCTTGATGGCCGTAGATGTCAAGTCTTCTGATGCCCAGTCATTTATGTGGTCCACCCCACTGCCTCCTTAGATACCATTAGATTCTTTTGTGCCCCAAATTCTCCATTTGTGGAGTCCTTAAGCTTAGAGTAACTTTCCATAATAGCTTTTATTCTATTCTTTGTACCTGTAGTTACATCAAAAGCTGCTCAAAGTTTACCTTGTCTTCATTGGCACACAGTAGGAAGAAAGCAGTCTTTTATGTTAAGTGAGGGCATTTGTTTCAAATCCTGACCTTAGATTAAAATTAAAATGACCTTGTAATAATTTTTTTTAATTGGGGGGGAGGGTAGTTGTTTATTTTAATGAAATCAACTCTTAAATGATGCCTATTTTTATACTCTGAATTTATAATTCTGATCTTTATAACATTGGAACGATTACACTGAATTACAATCTTTGCTTTGTAACTTTTCCATGGTCTCTGACCCAAAACAATAAAATTCCAACATGACCCAGGAAATCTGTGTGATTTATGCCTACTAAGCTTTCCAGTTTGGAACAGGATTCTTGCTCCCAATTCACACAGAAGCAGTGAGAAGTGAAAGAGGACCCAGAAAGTCTTTTCTTCTGTGTGAAAAGGCCTGATGGGAAGTGGAGCAATCAATAAAGAAAAGGCACAAGCTGCAGCTTACAAATTTCTCCGGGCCTCTCAGTGGCCACTAGCAACAACACTTGTTAGAGAAATTATATAGATTAGAAGATAGATATAGAATAAAAGCCACATGTACATGTCTTCTATCTGTAAAGGTTTTGCTAGGTATTTGCTAATCTATTCCTTCTGTGGAATCATCGATTTTACTTTTCTACCTGCCTGGATAAAGTAAGGTGTGTGTAAAAATGTCCTCCACTTATCTATTAGTTTGGTTTCAGGACAGTGTCCAGAGTAGTGCGAAAGGCCTAAAAATTTATTGCCGAAAATTAGCCAGTGAAAACCCCATGGATCACAGAACCTTGTCTGAGACTTTGCTAGCTTAATTTGTATGAGTCATCAGGATTGGTAGAGAGGATTATCATGCTTACTAAAGTGAAAGGCCAGCAAAGGCAAAGGGAGACCCTCAGTGAGATGAAATGACACAATGGCTGCAACGATAGACTCAAACAGAGATGATGAAGATGGTGTAGGATGGAGCAACATTCTATTCTGGTATACATGGGTCACCATACGTTGGAGCCTGCTGTATTGGAACTGTTGTTAAGTGCCATTGAGTCAGTTCTGACTCATAGCAAAACTGTATAGGGTTTCCGGGGCTGTAAATCATTGAGGTAGCAGACAGCCTCGTCTTTCTCCCGTGGAGTCGCTGGTGGGCTCGAACTGTTGACCTTGCAATTAGCAGTCGAGTGCTTAACCTACAGAACTCTGAGGCAGTCTTATTACTGTGACCATTTATAAATGAGCAAACAGATTTCCAGGAATCAAGTAACTTGGCCGAGATCCTGTAATTTTTAAGTGGTGAACCTGAGTATCAGATGACCAACATCTGGGTACTTACAGTACATGGGTTTCTTAGTCCTGCTCTGACAATATAAATACGTAGAGATACACTGAAGGCTGGGGGAATGACTACTGTTAGTAGGTTCCTCAAGACAAAGATTTCTTGATGCTGTATTGTTTTCACCCAAATCTCCTACCTTTCTAATTGATGGCAGGCAAGACGGATACACAGAGCGCACAGCATTGGAAGGAAACTAAGTGGAGGATACAGGCAGGGATATGGCTCCAGGTCCGCCTCCTGGCTTTAGTGGGCCGGCCGCAGACCGCCACATCGTCGCGGCCAGCCCCCAGTCATGCGGCCCAATCAGCGACGCCTCCTGGAACACCGCCCCTTCGCTGCGGCCATATAAGCCTCGGCCTTGGCGCGTTACCGCGCCGTTATCGGCAGGGCCTCAGCCTGTGAGGGGTTGGAGGGACAGCCCCACCTCCACGTACCGTACCCCTCCACCTACGCTGCGCCGCGGTCGTCTGGGCCCCCGCCCACCCCTTTGCTCGCCTCGTTTTGTGTCGGCGACGGGCCGGCACGATGCGGCTGGGCCCGAGGCCCGCGGCGTTGGGGCTGCTGCTGCTGCTGTACGTCGCGGCGGTCGGCGCCAGTAACGCCGAGGAGCTGCACTACCCGCAGGGCGAGCACCGCGCCGACTACGACCGCGAGGCGCTGCTGGGCGGCCAGGTGAGGCGGCCGAGCCGGGGTTGGGCAGGTCGGGCCTCGCACCGCCGCCGCCGCGGGCTTTGTCCCGGGACAAAGGGGGACAGCCGGGCGAGGCCTGGCCGAGGCGGCCTGACAATGGGGGCCGGGCGGGGCGCATCGGTGCTCTCGTCCTTGCCCTCGCTCTCTAGGGGCGCCCTGGGCCTCTCTAAGCCTGGGGAAATGGCATGGCTGGGGGGCTGGATCTTGGAGGGTGTGTGTAGGGGACCGGGGATCTGGGGAGCAAGTGGGGTCACCCCGAAATTCCTCCGCAATAGAAGGCTTCTGGTAGCCATTTCCTCCTACCCTTTCCTCCCTTGATAGTAATGCTTGCGCCTTGTGTGCTGCTTCCCCCCTAAAGGATGAAGCCGATGTGTATGTTAAACTCAACCTGGAAGAGCAACACAAAAGGCTGAAGTCCATCATAAAGAAAATTGACTTGGACTCAGATGGCTTCCTCACTGAAAGTAAGATTGGTCCTACTGCAACTAACAGCTGAGAAGTCCCATTATAGGAGACAGAAACGCAAACATTTAAAACGAGGGTGTCTGTTGAACGGAGATTGCTAGTATTCTAGCAAATTAGAAGTACTTTGAGAAGGCACGCGAGTATCATTTGTATCTGGACATCTTCAGACATAGTTACAACCCCGTGCAATTTAGTAAGATCTAAAGATCATTAACTGGCCACAGTACGTGCAGTTCATCACTTGAAGGCTCGCTCTTGCCCCTCACTTGACTAAATTTTTGTTTTTTAATCAATGTCAACAATGTAATTGATTTCGAGAAACATGCCAGTAACTTTCTGACGGCATTAAGCGATTTGCTGCTTTCTTGATATGTGTGTCATTAGAATTGTAATCCTCGTCTTGTTTTTAAAAAAGCAAGTAGAAAAAGACCTGTTGCATGTGAATTATGTTTATCACAAAATGTTAAAGCTGGTGGGGACTTTAGAGCCATCTTGTCCATCTCTTGTTATTAAAGAGATGAAGAAACAAACCCAGAGGGATAAGGACCCTTTTCAAATTATTGATAAACCCAGTAGAATCCAGCACTCCTGTTCCTAATTCAGTTGTTGTATCTTTCACTTAAAAAACAAACAAAAACTGAGTGCTGTTAGGTTCTGCAGTCAGAAATAAAATGTTCAGATTATTTAAAGAACACTTGGAATAAAGGTCTGTACAACTGTCTCTCCCCAATTCAAGTGATGGATCCTTTCCACTTTTGAAGCTGGTTCTCAAAAAAAGATTGAGAAGACAATTACTGTGAACATAAATTTATTATTATTCTATGTTCACTGCCATTGATTCAATTCTGTAGGGTTTCCGAGACTGTAAATCTCTTATAAGAGCAGACAGCCTCATCTTCCTCCTGAGGAACAGCTGGTGGGTTTGAACCTTGCAGTTAGCAGCCCAGTGCCTAACCCACAGTGCCATTTCCTATTTTAATTTTGCTCAGCATTCAACAATAAAATTGCTGGAGACTGAACTTCAAGACTGGTAATTTAAGACACACTTCACTTTGGTGCTGTCAAGAATACTAAGATTAAGGCTTGAGTTCTTGCAGAGATAGAAAAAGCCTCAGAAACCCTATACAGTGTCACTGTGAGTCAGAATTGACTCAACAACACTTAACAAAAACTTAATAAACATAAAAGAAAACCTTTGGACTCTAATTATCCAGTAAGAAAAAAAGCCAAAATTGGTTGCACTAAAATGTATACAAAATAAATTGATTTAGAAGACTATATGGTGCCTGTCTGCAGTGTCAGATTACCCAATCAGCAAGGTAAGCACGGGTTTACTTGTGCATATTTGCTAATCTGCAGTGAGCAATTTTGTATTTTTTAACCACATCAAAATTGTACTTCAAGTTATGGCTAGTATCTATCTCCCAACTCTAGAGCACCTTTCTACAGAATCAAAGCCTCTTCAAATGTATAATCCCAGCTAGGGACGGAAGTACACAGTAAACAAGAATAGATTTACTAATCTGTACTAATCTGTACTAATCTGTACATGGACTGCACCACATCACATGGTGAACAGCATATGAAACTGCTCTCCATAGATGAATAAATAAGCCTGCTATAACCTAGCATATTGGGTACACTGCCCCTGCCTGTTTGTTAGGGCTTGGATATATTGAAATAGTTCATCATAAATATTAAAACATTTTAAAGCTAAAAGGTGGTGTTGGTTATGTGCCCTGGAGTCAGTTCCAACTCTGTGTAGGGTTTCCGAGGCTGTAAATCTTTACGGGAGCAGAGAGCCTCATCTTTCTCCCCTGGAACAGCTGGTAAGGTTAGCAGCCCGACTGGTAGCCACTATGCTACCAGAGCTCCTTAGAGATAAAAAGGAGCATAGTCCAAATTTTCGTTTTATAAATCTGAAAACAAAGGTTCTGAGAAGGTAAACTTTTCTTATGTGGCAGAACTGAAGCTAGAGCCCATGTTTCTGATTCCTGCTCCAGTCTGTTTTTTGATGCCTCTTTAAATGAACTAGGAGAAAGACACTTGCTGCTTAAGGAAACCTTCATTCTGCTTGGGCCCTCTTTATGGAATTACACTAATTTGCACTTTAAAAGGCAGAACTGGAACAGAGAGAGGGTCTTGAGAAGCATCAAAATTCCATGGCAGGAGTTGGTCTCTAGACTTCCTGAACCTCATTTCCTCTGCATTAAAACAGTGATAATAATAATGACTTGTTTAGAAAATTAGAGAGAATGTACTTAGAGGAATTGATACATAGTGATTGTTTAATACCTCATTACCTTAATGAATATTCTTGGTTGAGCTTCAGGAAAGATACACTGTCTTTGCTACTCATCCAATCTCCCCCGAATTATGGAGGGGACCCTTAGTGAAGTGCCCTACCACTTGTTAAAGGAGCACACTTGTTAAAGGTAGCGTAGTGGTTACAAATCGGGCTGCTAAGGTCAGCAGTTTGAAACTACCAGCCGTTCTGAGGGAGAAAGATGAAGCTTTCTGCTTCCGTAAAGATTTACAGCCTTGGAAACCCTGTGCAGGGTCACTGTGAGTCAGAACCAACTCCATGGTACTTAACAACAACAACAACAACAAGTTGATTTTAAAGTGAATATTTGAGATTTAGAAACTTTTCCCTTGTCTTCAAGTACAATGTCTAGACAACTGTTGCAGAAGGGAAATATAATTGCTACTGGTTTTGTTAAAATGCCCTCCAGGTGCTTTATGATGTGGCTAAAGGGAGTGTTTCACAGACATCAGTCAATTGAATAACTTCTCACAATTTAGACCCTACCCACATAACTTCTATTAATTCTGTCATAAAAGTTTAAGTACCATATGTTTTAAAAAGAAAACTTTTTATCACGTTCATAAACACTGTATTTCTTAAGACATATTAAATAAGTTATTCAAGTACAAGAACATTTATGCTTCCTGAGACATTATTTGGTAACATGCAAAGGTTGTTGGCAATTTTTTAGTTAATATTAAAAATAAATTTTTTTTTAAAATGCTATTTTGACCAATTGTTAAATCATTCAAGTTCTTATTGAGTCAAACATTTTCTGGGCACTTGGTGTATGCCAGGGAACAAAACAGACCCAAACTCTACTTATATTCTAGCAACTACATATTTATCTTCTATACATAGGCGCCAAGTAGCTCTTCCTTCCCTGCATCCATATTCATTTCTATGCAACTTGGCCAGTATTTGTAAACATGCATGATTTTGGGGTTAATGCAGTTTGAACCATAAGGTTGGTGGTTCAAGCTCACCAGCCACTCCTTGGAAACCCTATACAGGGTTGCTGTGAGTCGGAAACAACTGGAAGGCACTTAATTATTTTTCTAGAGAAGACTTAGACATGAGACATGTACTAGGAATAAAGGTAAAATAATAATACTAATAATCCCTGTGCTTGAAGAATTTAAGAATATATCTCTAGAGAAGACAAAAATAACAAACCCAGAACAATCAAGTAACAAGTGGTTGCTTTTCTGTGTTCAGTAATGTTGTAATGCACTCCCTTCCTTTTCAGTCTGTTTTCCCCACTCTACTAGACAGACCTGTCTCCAAAATCATGTAACTTCACCTAATTGCTTTTGAATCAACCACACAAACAGACAAAAAAGGTTTAGAAATCCTGTTGGTCTCAGAAGTATTGCTACATTCATTGTATTTTGTAATTCTCATAGATGAACTCAGTTCATGGATTCAGATGTCCTTTAAACATTATGCTATGCAAGAAGCAAAACAACAGTTTGTTGAATATGACAAGAACAGTGATGATGTTGTGACTTGGGATGAATACAACATTCAGATGTATGATCGTGTGATCGACTTTGATGAGGACACTGCTCTGGATGATGTAGAAGAGGAGTCTTTTAGGCAGGTGAGTACCTGTGCACAAGCTGTTCTTTCAGTTTGTATCAGTTCACTTGACCTTCCCACATGAACGAGCACAAGGGGTCTGAGAAGAGAGACAGGATTGCCCTGTTCCCTAGGTAAATAACCTGTTCCACTTCAATGGACAGTTTGATGGTTTCCTTCCTTTCTAGACAGATTTAGGATTCTAACTCTGTGTCTCAGCTGCAGTATTTGTCCTTGTTGCTAGAGTGGCTTATTTATGTATTCTAGATGCCAGTGTTTTACTTTAAATTACCAAGAAGGCACATTCACATTGTTAAGCATGTTGTTTTTATATAAAATAACTCATTTCTGAGAACACAGTATCCCTATGAGTTCTGTTGTTTCCCACAGTTGAATTTACTGGGTAAACACTGGACTGCAAACCCCACGGTTGGTGGCTCAAGCCCACCAGCCGCTCTGCAGGAGAAAGATGAGGCTGTTTGTTCCTGCACAGTTGTGCAGCCTGGGAAACCCTATAGAGGGTTAGTTACTATGAGTTTGAACCAACTCAACAGCACTTAACCACCAAGCAGAGCTGAGGAAGACAAGTTTGATTTAGAAATTAGTAAAAATGATTTGAAACTTTTTAGTTAGATATGAGTAGGAACTTTTCAAGACTTTTAAGAAGTTTGTTAAACTAAAAGTACATGAGTTCAAATGACTGTAAGTGTCAGAAATTTGCCATTTCAAATATTTCTGCATTTCAGAGGTACTTTTAAAACATTTTTCTAATATAGGTAGCTTTTTATACATAGAATAATAAAATCAAACATTTTGTTGCAAACTCTGTCACAAAGTTATAGTGAAGGGTGCTTGGAAAACATTTGAACATCCTTATTCCTTAACATATCCATTGTTAAATAAGTTGAGAAGCTGTTGTGGCATGGTGGGTTAAGCACTGAACTGCTAACCACAAGGTTGGTGATTGAGACCCACCAGCCACTCCTTGGGAGAAAGATGAGGCTGTCTATTCCTGTAAAGGTGAACAGTCTCAGAAACCCTAAGGAACTCCTCTGTCCTATAGCATCACTAATATTAGGTGACATTTGGTTTAGTTTTTCTTTGGGGGTTTTAATATTTATTGTGCCCATTCTTCATCAGCTAGTTGGCTGTTTTACTGCTAATGATTGTGTGTAGTATGGGCGTAGCACTATTTAGAAGTTAAACCGAACCCAACCCAATCCACTGACGTTGAGTCAATTCCCACTCATAGCAACTCTGCATAGGGTTTCCGAGGCTGTCAATCATTATGGGAGCAGAAAGCTTCGTCCCCCACAGGGCTGCTGGTGAATTTAAACTGCCAGCCTTGTGGTTAGCAGTTCAGTGCTTATCCTACAACACCACCAGGACTCCTTAGTGTAGAGGTTAAAGGCGCCCATTTTCCACCCAACTTGCATCCAGTTCTACCACTTAATAGTTGTGTTTCCTTGAGTAAATTATTAAACCCCATTATGCCTGAGTGTTTTCATCTATGAAATATGGGGATAATGGTAACATGGAGAGAGAGAACTATAAGAGCAGCAGTTGGAATGAGCCCTGGTGGCTCAGTGGGCTAAACACTGGGCTGCTAACCGAAGGGCCAGTGGTTCCAACCCACCAGCCTCTAATACTAAGTGCCTCAGAAACTCTGACCTATAGGGTTTCTGTGAGTTAGAACCAACTCGGCAACAATGGATTTGGAGTAGCAGTTAAACTAGTAAGTAGTTCTATTTTGATTAAAATAAATATTGTTGAAGAAAGCATATACAATTGTTCATAAGTTTATATTAGTCAATTTTTAAAAAGTGCTTCGGCACTTGTTAACTATATCAGCTTTAGAGTAGGTAGGAGAAAAGAGGAAAATGTTCTTTTGTTGTACTTTTTTGGTTTCCTCTTACTTGGGTCTTCATCTGACAGCAGACTAAAATGAGTGTGAATCCCAACTTTATATTGGCTTGTTAGTGCCAAACAGGAAATGATTGATGGCCATGGGATTTGGGATTGTCATTTACTAGGCTTCTTCCTTTAATATTGACATTGTTGTTGTTGTTATGTGCTGTGGAGTCGGTTCCGACTCATAGTGACCCTGTACAAGAGTTTCCGAGGCTGTAAATCTTTACGGGAGCAGAAAGCCTCATCTTTCTCCCGCGGAACAGCTGGTAGTTTCGAACTGCTGATCCTAAGGTTCGCAGCCTGATTCGTAACGACTACGCTGCCAGAGCTCCTTATTAAATTGACAATATTAAATTGACATTAACTTACCTCAAAAGCATCGTTAGAGGTTTGGGATTTTTCTAAAACCAAAACCATGGTATGATACCAAGGTTTCCTTGCTAGGTAGTAAAACAAGTTAACTGTAGTATTTTACAATCAGTCATACTTTAGTCCAATTCTAATTGTGTCTTTTTTTTTTTTTTTTTCCCTTGACCCCCAAAATAATTAATAGCCTATCCAAAAAAAAAATGTGATTTTGGATTTTTATGTGGTTTTTTTTAATCTATATTCTTGAGAGTGGTGGTAACATAAAAGATCTTGCTATTGAGCAGAAAATTGTCTCTCTGAAGAGGTATATGACTGATTGATAGACCTGGTTATGTACAGTTTTCTTTTAAATTATATTTTGTTCTAATGCTCTGTTCCCCACTGAGTAGTTAGAAGATGTCGATTATAAGACTCTCTAGTGTTTTCAGAATGAGTTTTGCTATCCGTCAAGTCAGTTCTGACTTCAAGCAACACTGTCTAGGGTTTCCAAGGAGCAGCTGGTGAGCTTGAACCACTAACCTTGTGGTTCAAACTAACCTTGCAGTCCAGCGCATTAACGCATAGCGCCACACCGAGACTCCAAGAATGAGTTAAATGGACATTAATAGTTTAAAGGAATTGATGCAGACCCTTGGTGTAAACACCGCTCAATGGGAGTCCTACTGGTTATCTTGACATGACCACATAATCAGGAACATGCCTCTATCTTCTTCAGGAAGTTTCTAATCATACTTCATTAGAATTTGATATAAATTGTTGTTGTTGTTAAATGCCCTAAATATCAGTAAGCATGTGAATATTCTCCAAAATACAAAATAAAGGACATATATGAACTGAGTCTTAACCAAAGTTACAGAATAATTTAGACCACAAATAAAATGAAAAGTAAGTGGGTATCTGAATAAAATAAAAATTTCTTAGGGAAACATACTAAAAAACAAAAACCAACTTGATACCTGCATTTTATTTTAGTTTTATTAAGTCTCTCTGTAGAGACGAGCTGGAGTAATGAGCCTTTCAGGCTGTGAAATGCCTGGAAAGGCTTTTCCTTATTATACGATGAACCATTGCAGTCAGCACTTTTAAGCAGGATAATTAAAGTTTGGGGACTTGCTTGGCAAAAGCTCAATTGCCAGCTAAGCTGACTTCTAAAGTCAACTGCTGAAGATGCCTATTGTAGCAATATTTATTTACGTAAGGTATAACCTTACATGCAACTAATCAGATTTTTGAAGACCTAGACTTTTTGTTTTAGTTTCACAGTTTATGTATTTCCTCATGCAAATCATTAGTCTACCAAAAGATGGCAGTTTTGTTCCTCACAAGCTCCTGTGATGCTATAAGAACAGAAATTATGGTCGTTTCTTTTCACTACTGTTCCTAGCTCTTTCTGCCTTCTATGAGAATATAAAGTTTTTATACAAAAGGGGGAAAATGAGGTTTTATGGGATTGTCCATCTCTTGTTTTTATCTTTTAGAAAGTTTCTGATTTGAAGAAAAAGGTCTTTCTGCTTACTGGTTTATTTAATAATGAGCTAGTCTTAAATTGTGCTCTTTAAATGATCATGCATAAAATCTATTAAAACATACATAACTTGATTTTATTTTTAAAAATTTGAAATAGGAGCCAGAAAACTTTTTTTTTTTAATTGAAAAAAATCTCAGCTTGTTGAAAGAGGTCCTTTCTTTCCATAGGCAAGTTCCTCTGCTGAAACATGGACTATTTTACTTCAGATTGTAGAGTTCTTTCATAAGCAATCTATGGCACTTGGTTATTTTGAATAGTGGTTTATACCCCCCCTCAAAAAAGAACTTGAATTTCTTGACAAAGTACCCCAAATTCTAATATCTTGACTTTTCCTCATGTTAAACCTTAAAGTAAAATGCAAATTACTTTATGTAGTTATTTGAAATTATAAGACTTAAAAGTAAAAGCAATTATTTGGAGCTAACTTGGATTTTTTCCCTCCTTCTTTCATGATTGGGTAAGTATTTCTGGCTTGTGGGGTCTGGATGTTTAAGAGACTGAATTCTATGGGGAGAAAGGTAAACCTCTGTAAATTAGTCACTGTAAAAGAACTAGTATTTACTTAAATAACTGCTCCCTAGCTGTCTCTATTTTTCTAGAAAATTGAAAAGAATATTTCTTTTCAACAGTGAAACAACATAAATTTAAAGCTGCTAAAACATTTGTAATTGTGTTTTTTAAAATGCATCAATTTATGGGAAGGAAAGCTAGTCCTAAAATTCTTAAAATAGAAATTATGCCGGATTAGCAATGTGGCATTTTTTTCCCAAGGTTCTTGGTTGCAGAGGTACTTTTGAAAAATTATCAAAAGCCATCGTGTTCGTAATAGCTGCTGACTCATTTTACTACTTGAACAAAAATAAACATGAGAAAGAAAATAGGAAATGGATCCATTTAGACTTTTGAAGTCTTTATTTCTGAACATGCAGAATTACCACTATAAAGAGCCTACTAAAAATAGACTTCCAGATATTATTATTAGCTTTACACTAATAATATGAGATCCTCAAGATAAGAGGACTTTCTCCCTTTCTTTTGAAACTTGTTAACATATTTTTAAAAAAGTTATTTAGAAGACCAGAAACAATTTGAAAAGACCCTGCCAAGATTTTGGACATGGTCAAAATTTAGTTCATTTTGGGCATCCAGGAAAGTACTGAGATTGTTGAAAGGCAGTGGTACAGAAAGAACAGGGAAAACTGACCGTTCCCTAATCTAAGTCAATGATTAGACTGATGATTGAGCAATGATTATAGTTTTGCAATCAATAATAGTAACAGCTCAACAAACTCAAACTCACTGACATCCAGTTGATTCTGACTCATAGCAACCCTTTAAGACAGAGTAAACCACTCCGTGGGTTCTGAGACTGTAAATCTTTACAAGGGCTGACAGCCTCAGCTCACATTTATTAAATACTGCATAGTTAGGGCTTGGTAATTACTTGATGGAGTCCTGGTGTGGCACTCCACAGATAATGTACAAGACCGCAAGGTCAGTTTGAACCTCAAGGTCGACAATTCAAACCCACCAGTCACTCCTTGGTAACCCTATATAGTCCTATATAGGGTTGCTATGAGTCAGAACTGACTTGTTGGCACTTAACAACAACAGCAACAATTGCTTGATAAGGGATCCTTATCCCAGTTACTCAATATGGACTTTTATCCCAATTTTCTAGAAAGGTTACATAGCTTGACTTGATTAACACAGCAAGTAAGTGGCTTCATTGAAGTTGAGAGCTGGGTCTATACCTGCCTATAATAAATGTTTGTTATATTAGCTCAGTCTGTCTTCAAAGGAATGATGTGGAGATAGAATGTGCTTTAAATTCCATGTAGCTTATGTTTTTTAAAGTACTTTAAATGTTGTTATTATACTAACAAGACCTTTAAACCTGTTTATTTATTTTTCAAAGCTTCATTTAAAAGACAAGAAACGATTTGAAAAAGCTAACCAGGATTCAGGTCCTGGTTTGAATCTGGAAGAATTCATTGCTTTCGAGCATCCTGAAGAAGTTGATTATATGACGGTAAGAAAGAAACGTTTTCAGAGAATTATTGAGTGACCAGATCATTAAGATCTTTGTTTATTACGTCACTGGAGTGAATTATATTTGTTGATGTTAGGTGCCATCAAGTTGGTACTGACTCATAGCGACCTTAGACACAACATAACGAAACACTGCCAGGTCCTGGGCCAACCTCACCATCTTTGCTTCATTTGAGCCCATTGATGCTGCCACTGTGCCAATCCATCTCGCTGGGGCTCTTCCTCTTTTTCTCTGACCCTCCACTTTACCAAATAAGATATCCTGCACCAGTGACTGGTCCCTCTGGACAATATTTAAGAGACAGGAAGATCAAAAATTCTTGTCTCAGAGTAGAAGTGGAAAGGAAGTTGAGGCGGTGGTAAAAAACAAAAGACCATTGTTGTTGACCCAATTCTGACTCATAATGACCCTATCAAACAGAATAGAAAGGTCCATAGGTTTCCAAGGCTGAAATCTTTGTGGTAATGTAGGATATACACTGGACTGCTTACCACAGGACTGGTGGATGAAACCTACCAGTTGCTCCTTGGAAACCCTATGCAGGGTCGCTATGAGTTGAAACTGATTTTACAGCACTTAACAACGACAACAATCTCTATGGAAGCAGAGTGCCACAGCTTTCTCTTAGCACAGCAGTTTTGGTGGGTTCAAACCACTGACTTTCTGGTTAGCTACCAAGTGCTTAGCAACTGCGCCATCAGGGTTCCTAATATAAAAAATAGTGTTTAGAAATCGGCTACACGTTTACACTGAGTCTGTTGCATTGCATCGGCTTCAGTTATGTGGCTTAGTTCCCAAGGTATTTCACAGAAAGAAGATAGAGTTTTTTGTTTCTTGAGGCAAAGTCAGAAGTTGCTGCATTGAATAACTGGACTGCAGATAACGGTTTTTCCCGTAGCTCAGGGGCAAAACATTGCCGTTAGTACCACTCCTTTTGCCATTTTGAAGCTTCTGATTTCTAACTTGGCACAAAATACATGACCTAGTTAAAGAACAGTGCCAGGGCACAGTGTGTTTTAGTGCCAAGATTAATTTGGGGTAAGATGATTGAACCCAAGAATGGCAGTCAGAGGATGCCGGGTCTCATGCTCTCAGGAATAAGGAACGCAGGAAGACTTTGAGCAGGGGTATGTCCCGTGAAATCAGGTAGGCATTATATGCTATAGCCTGGTGTGTGGTTTAGCAATGAAATGACATAGGTTTTGGAGATAGCATAAACAGGACTAAGTAAGTATGATGGGAAGGAGAGCATCAGAGATGATGCTGAGGTTATGAGTTTACATGACAACAATGGTAAAGATAGTACCATTCCACAGACGGGATGGAGGAAGATAATCAATTTTCTTTGATGCCATTAGAGGTGATGGCAGCACATACATGGTGTTGCATTTCAGAACATCTTCATTAATTCCTATTTACCTTAATCATTTTTATATAGTCCTTTTGCCCTTTAAGAGTATATTTCATGTAGGTAAAAGACCAAGGGTACAGGAACAAATTAAGTAGTTCTACTTTGGATTAAGCGGGAGAAAGATGAGGCTTTCTACTCCCGTAAAGATTTACACCCTCGGAAACCCTATACAGGGTCACATAACAACGACAACAACAACTTTGGATTAAAAGTTATTGTTACTGATATAGCTCCAAAGATTCTTGTAACCATGGTTACTCTTGAAGTATGTCTTTTGTCTCCCAAGAGGAGGATTTTACATGGAAAATAGTCCTATTGGTTAGTAGTTCTTAACTTTTATTGGTTCACAGATTCTCTTAAGAATCTGATACATATTATGAACTGTGCTCCAGAAAAATCACACAGTGCACCCACCCACAAAATACTGAATGATAATTTCAGAATTTCCTCAAGATTTCTCCCTTTAAAATGAATTTTAGGATTCCTAGATTAAGATCTCCTGGTTTCTAGATAGAAAATCGGTAATATTTGATTTAAAAGTTTACACTTAAGCAGTGTTTCATGTACAAATGGATTAAGTCTTTCGATTTGACAAGAATGAAGGCAATGAGGATATTTGAGTCTGATTCACTAGAATTGTGATGCTGAAATGCACATTAAAAAGTGTTTAAAAGAAAATGAAAATAATAGATGTAGGTTAGGAGACACTCATCAGGGAAGAAAACACAGGCAGCTAGTTAATGGGTCCAGCAAAATCCTGGAGATTTGAATGTGTTTAAAGGCACAGAAGAAGGAGCTGCTGTAGAAGAGACTGAAGACTTGGGAGAGTCAGGAATCAAGAACTGGTCAACAAGAAAGCATTTCAGGAGATTTCTCATATTTGGAAACATACAAGGAATTTTTCTAAGAGAGTATTGTGGAAGGTTGCAGTATGGTCCAAAGAAAGTGGAGGTTTTAAAAAAAACCCAAACAGCTGTAGAGAGTTTGGGATGCTATAGGAGAAGTACTGGACTGTTATCTACCAGGTCAGTGGTTCAAACCCACCAGCCACACCTCAGGAAACCTATACCGTGTGGCTTTGGGTTGAAACTGGCTTGATGGCACTTAACAACAACAGAGCATGTTAGGGAAACTGAGGCAGAGACTTCTAAGCTGCAGTGGAAGGTCCAGTGATACAGCAAAAATTAAATTGTTAGGCTTCGTTTTATATTCTTGTCTATTTTGTGAGACTTTATGGTTCTGAAATAGAAAAGTGAAGTGGGTTTGCTGTGCAGACGGGAGATTAGCATGAGAGGAAAAGAGTCCAAGATAGGGAGGTATTGAAAGAAGCACTGAAGCAGCTGACCGTGGGCTCAGGGCAACTAGAAGTCTAATCCTGGGGTCAGGAAGAAGAGTTGGTCGAGATGTATTGATAAGGATGAAGAACAGGTTTGGGAGAAGTCTGAGGTGATTGGAGGGAGCTTTGAGACAGTTGAGATTCTGTGAATGACAGCAGGACTCCTGGTGTTCTACCTACAAACTGTAGGGTAAGCACTGGACTGCCAGCCACCAGGTTGCAGTTTAAATGTATCAGCCACTCCTCAGAATCCCTTTCGAGGCTTCCTTTCTTTGAGTTGGAACTGACTCAGTGACACTTAACAGCAACACGTAGAACAGTTTTATGTAGAGATCTAAGAGCCTTAAAGTGGATTGTATTCATTTTGGTAGGGTTTCTTTTGTGGTTGTTGATGGATTGGTGTTAGAAAATGACAAGGGAAGTAACAAATAATCGTTCTTGAAAGGGAGGGCAATATGTAGACAGTTGCAGAAAGCAGTATGAGTTAGTGCCAGTGTTGTTTAGGAGGGTGAAGTGTAGTTCTTCACAAGTTGAGGGTGTTGGTCTTATGCTTCTTAGTTGTTGTTGATAAGTGCCATCGATTTGGTTCCGACTCATAACTGAATAGGGTTTCCAAGGAGTGGCTGGTGAGTTTGAACTGCTGACCTTGCAACTCAAACCAACCTTGTGGTCTTGTGTTTATTCTACGAGGAGTTTTATTCTTGCTTCTAACTTCCAATGTTTGGGAAGATTGTTCTGTAAGTATGTACAACCAGAATGATTATTCCTAAATAAGTTCTAAAATAGGGTTGATTCAGATGGTGCTGAGATTGAAAATTTTGTGACTAACTTTAAAAAATATTTTTTTATGAACATGTAATAGGAATTTGTCATTCAAGAGGCTTTAGAAGAACATGACAAAGATGGTGATGGATTTGTTAGTTTGGAAGAATTTCTCGGTGATTACAGGCGAGATCCAAGTAAGTCGCTTACGGGAGTGTGGAAGGAGAAAAAAAAGAGAAGAATTAAAAAAGAAAGAAATTGAAAGATAGCCTGGCTTGTTTGAACACACTGTTTGACAGAGAAAAATGAACAACAGGCATTGTGTCTGATTCTTAACTTGTTTTACCAAGTTAACTGTAATAGAAGTGAAGCAAAGGAATTGGGTCCTTATCTGAGAATGCTTTTAGTGCCATATTTGGATTCAAACTTTTTTTCCCCTTACAAACAAATGTAATTATCAATTCAATTGAGGAAGGAAATAAAGATTAGTATTTTAAGCAAAATGTAATATCTTTGCATCTTAAAAGAGAAAGAAACACAAAATACTGTAAATACTGGTGTAGAAGGCAGCACATGTCTGAGTGTTTGAAATTATAGGCATTGTCTGCAGCCTTTTATTTTTATCAGTAGCTGTCTTTTTCACAATTATTGAAACACATCAAACAATGTCATTTTAATATTTGTCACTGATTTTACTTAATGTGAATGCCACTTAAAATTATACATGGCATTACTTTATAAGAATGTGCTGAAAACTTTATGTAGTCCCATGATCGGAAACCCTATACAGGGTCGCTATGGGTCGGAACCGACTCGATGGCACATAACAACAACAACAACAATGATATATATACATTAAAAAACAACACTATCCAACTCAAATTTGGGAAAGCTCGATCTCTGGACAAGTAGCAGCAATTAATAAGATTACTACTTGGTGAGAATATGCAACTGTTTGAAAACTGAGTTCTTTTAGTATGTGTCACTTTTAAAAATTGCTGTTTATTTTGTACTTGTTTCAGGACTTTTCAATGAAGTCACTGTTTCACTAGGCTTCCTTTATATTGTTATTGTTGTTAAGTGCTGTTGAGTTGGTTCTGTTCCTAGCAACCCTGAATAGGGTTTCCATGGAGTGGCTGATGAGTTCGACCTTGTAGTCCAATGCTTATTTTTACAGCACCACACCAGGATTCCCCCCTTCTTTTATATATAAATTTAAACTTTTATATATAAATTTAAACTTCCTTTATTCTAAAGATATACCAGATTTCTGTCTGGTACATGTGATAGTCTTAAATATGTATATTTGTTTCCTTTATATTTAGCTGCAACTGAAGATCCCGAATGGATACTTGTTGAGAAAGACAGATTCGTGAATGATTATGATAAAGATAATGATGGTAGACTTGATCCCCAAGAGCTGTTATCTTGGGTGGTACCCAATAACCAGGGCATTGCACAAGAGGAGGTAAGAGTGACAGAAGGTCTGTCCCTTTGTTTATGTATTTCTTTTCCCTTTGGTGGAATGGCTCAGAAAGGAACTTCAAAACAAATCTTAAAAATCAAAGAAATAATGAAACTATTTAAAGCTGATGCATTGCTCATTTTGATTGAAATCTATGACGTGTTTTCGATCATCAGGGAGAATGTTATGTATGAATTTGATAGTACAGTGAATAGAATAATGGAAGCTTGCATCTACCTGTAATGTCTTTTCTCCTAAGGGCCTTAAAGTGGGTGGTACTAACTTTTAGTTATCCTTAGGATATCCTGGATTGGATTTGAGTGGGTAGGAGGCAGACCCAGCAGAAATTAAGACTGCAGATAACGAGAGAAGCTGTAGACAGACCCAGTTACGATGTGTAAGATTTTGAGGAGATTAGACAGTGATTAGTACCTGGCACACCTGAATGGTTTTGACAAATCAAAACCCACACATGAAAATGTGAACATCTTGGTGAAAATACTTGTTATATTTGACAGTTTTTTGCTTTGTTTTGTTTTGTTTTACAGGCTATGCATCTAATTGATGAAATGGATTTGAATGGTGACAGAAAGCTCTCGGAAGCAGAGATTCTAGAAAACGAGGACTTGTTTCTTACCAGTGAAGCTACAGATTATGGCCGACAGCTCCATGAGGAATATTTCTATCATGATGAGCTTTAAATTCCCAGTGTGTGCGAGCAGTATTCTGACTCCTTTTATAACTTAACCAGTTTTACTTTTGTGATAAAATATTGATGTTATATTTTACACACTAAGTCTTATTACTACATTTAAAATCACTTTAATGTAAATTACAATTTTGGTCTCTTAGAAGAAAACCAAAACCTAATATTTATTTGAAGAACTAGGACACTAATATTGTGCCATATGCCAATAAAGTCATTCCTAAATCTTCCATCTGTTTAGTACTGTACTGTGGAATATTTGAGTTGTATTTCCATACTTGAAAAATGGAGAATTTTAGAGATGCCTGAACAATGTTATTTAAGCAGTACGTGACTGAGCTATCAATTTTTGCTTTGTTTTAAGTAGCTTTAATTTGGGAACTGACAAAAAGGACAATGTTTTTAGAATTAGCATTTTGTTTTAAAACCTTTAAAGGAAACCTTTAGAAGTTCTGTGTAATTTTAAGTTGGTTTCTATAAAGGACTTTATTGTATGAAATAGAACTTTATATTTTTGCATATGTATAGATAGTAATTATATTTAATGTATAACAATAGCATTATGGTGTGTGGAATTTGACATTGTCCAGAACTGTTTTGTTTTCTTTTTCTGACCAATTAAAAATGAAATGTCTTATCTTTTTATTTATATGTTTGTTTGTCTTTTCTTAGCTTTCAGATAAACCTTAAATTTAGCACAGTTTTTATTGTCTTGTATACCATCTCATCTCATCCTTTTCTGCAGTAAATGTTTTCAAAACTGTTAACAATTCTTCTCACTGCATATCCTTATTTTGCCCCCCCCCCAACCCCGATAGGATCATAAATGAATGTATACATCCTACATTTTAGTTGATTTTTGTGGTAAATACTGTCTGGTCTTGCTGGTTAGGGCTAGAAGTAATCTTAACAATTACATATACTGGATATTACTAGTAGAGCTGATTAATTATCATCATAGAGCTCAATTTCAGTTATAGCTGAAATTAAAAACACACTTGTTAAGCATTTGTCCACACCTAATAAATGGTCAATTTTAATCGTATTTAGGAGATCACCTTACTTACTTTTAGGAAGGATCTTATGGGAAAGTGAAAAGTCCCTGGGTGGAGCAGATAGTTTACACTTGACCACTAATCTGAAAGTTGATGGTTCAAACTTAACCCAGCTGTACTGTGGAAGAAAAGCCTGGCAATCTCCTACCATAAAGATGAAAGCCAAGAAAACCCTACTACTCTGATACATGGTGTTGCTCTAAGTAAGAATCCACAACAACGTTTTGTTTTGGGGGAAGTGAGGTCCCAGGGTGGTGCAAACAGTGCTCGGCTCCTAAGAGATTGGCTGTTTGAATCCAAGATGGGACTGTGGAAGAAATGCCTGGAGATCTGCTTCCTAAGATTATAGCCACTGAAAACCCTCTGGAGCACAGTTTACTTGGACACACATGGTGGGCTCTCCATGAACTGGAACCCAGGGACCACAATTGGTTGGTTAGGGAAAAGTGAGATGGTAAAGCAATTAATTTCTTTTTATTTGTGAGAGAAGTCAGCCACATAGTCTGTTGCTTTTGTGTAGTATTTTCAAACAGCTCAACTTGGGTCTCAACAAGTACTTAGGAGTATTTGACAAGGCCTGACATTCTTTTCTGATAGAATTGCTGCTGCCCATCTTTGCTGATGAGAGGTATGAATGCATGTGGTTTACTGACACCCCAATAATAGCTTACTGACTCTCATGTGAAATGGAGTCATGTTAACCAACATTACCACCTCTTCAGCTCTGGCTGTCAGAGAATTCACTTTGATTATCACTGAAAAGGTGGAATATGAGAACTAACCAGATTGATTAGCATGCTGACCGTTTGTTTTTTCTTGCCATAGTCTCCAAAGTCAGTGGGTGAATTGTTAGACTATCAAATTGGGATTTTATTAAAATCCTTAGACATCTTGATCAAAAATGCTCCTAAGAGTCAACATTCCACATTCAATTTTGATCGCATGTGAATTAGAGTTGGGGTGGGCATTATCAGTGCTCACAAAAGTTTGTTCTTTCCTTCCTGACATACGTCCCCCGGCAAGTAGGCAGGGCTACTTCTGACCAGGTCGACCTTAGTGGAAATAGTGTGTGCTGCTTCTCAAGGGGGCCAGTGACAACTTCCTTTCTTCTGCCTTGGCATTGGGTAAGAGGCCTCCAGTGGAGCCACAAGATCAAAGTGACCTAAAATTGCCAAGTGACCACATGGCACTCAGCTGGACCCACAGTCACTGTGTGATCAAGAAATAAAAGTTTTGCTCTAGCCTCGATGGCTCGATAATCAGAACTCGACTAGAGGAAGATTACAATAACAATTTTTTAAATATATATATATAAAGGAAACAAGGGTAATTTGCTACAATTTGATGAACCTGACCTAAACTCAGGGAGGTAGTAACTCTAAATACCAACAGAGAGGGAAGGAATCTTCACATCAAGTATCAATGCTATCCCCTCTGCACACAGGGTAGATAGAGATGGGCAACTTAGACAGTGGTTACCTAAAATGAGGGGGTGATAAAGGCATGAAGTGACTGGCTTACAAGATTCCAAGAGGGAGTTTAGTTTAAGAGTATGGGGGGAAAGAAAACTATTCCCCACTGAATAGTTTTCATCTTGTCTAGATGGGTCTGGTGAAAAGAGATGGGGATACGATTTGTATGATTCAGTAGTGAATAATTGTTATTATGACTAATTGAGACTGTCACAATTGTAAAGGTAGAAGTTTTGTCAACAAAAACAGGTGTGGTTAATCTAATTAGGCAACTTCCGTGGATTCAGAAAATGATCAAGAAAACTGCAGATAAAATTAATGAAAACAGACAAAATAATGGAAAAACTCAGGAAACAAACTGACAGAATAATTGAAAACATGGAAATCATACAAAAACAACAACTAGTAAACCAGAAGATTTCCGTAACATGATACACTAAAAGGGCAAAGAAATAGAATTGAATCAGTGGAAAGTCGAATTACTGAGTTTGAAGAAAAATCTCTTAATATTCATCTGCTAGGTATGGTACTGTAGGATAAGCATTGGACTACAAAGTTGGTTTGAACTGCAAGGTTGGTAGTTAAAACCCACCAGCTGCTCCTTGGAAACCCTGTATAGGGTCACTATGAGTCAGACCCAACTCGATGGCACTTAACAATAGAGGAGCAATCAGAAAAATGAACAAAAAAAATCCATAGTCTTGATTTATATGGGACACCATCAAGAGGAATCATTTATGTGTTTTAGGAATTCCATAACAGAAAGAGAAAAACAATAAAACCCATAGCAAATATTGTCAAAGAATTGAGAGAAAACTTACCTAACATCATGAAAGTCAAGATAGCCATTCAAGAAGTTGATTGTACTCCAAACAGGACAGACCCTAAAAGAAAAACAAGACATATTATAATCAAACTCTTCAAAACCAAAGACAAGGAAAAAAATCCTGAGAGTAGCAGCTCAGGAAAAATGAAAAGTTACCTACCAAGGAGAGCTAATAAGATTACGTTCTGGTTTCTCAGCAGAAATCTACAGGCAAGAAGACAACGGAATGACATATATAAAACCCTGAAAGCAACAAACTGCCAACCAAGAATCACATATCTGACAAAACTCTCCATCAAATATGACAGTGAGATTAGAAAATGTTCAGACAAACAGAAATGAAAAGAATTTGTAAAAACCAGACCAACCTTACAAAAAATACTAAACGGAGTTCTTTGGACAGTGAACCATTAACAGCAGACAACAATCTGAGACTAACATACAGGATAACACCACCTAGACCCAACCCAGACATAGTATTCAGAGTAAAACAGACCTGTAAGACTGAAAACAGAGAACAGAGATACAGTTGAAACAATAAAAGTTTTAAAAATTAAAGAGGGAATAATGTAATTACAGAACTTCCAAAATGAAGAGGAAATCAGATTTGAAGAAAAAACATCAACCTAACTATAACCCTAAAAACAAGACCAAGCCTTACTCCTAACATTAGCTCAACCCTTACTTCAAACCCTAACCCTAGTCCTAACCATCACCTTAACATTAAGTGAAATTCTACACCTAGCCACAGTCCCAAACCTAACCATGGCTCCAAAATAAAGAGTATATGAAACTTTTTACATTTTGGGAAATGGTTTAGGAAAGTAAGCTCTTTTTGGTCAAATTTCCTGGCTGCTTATAAAATTCTTGACAACTCAGTGGTGAGTAACTCAACTACCTATAGACAGAGCAGCTACTAAAAGTTTGGGGGGGGAGAAATGCTCAATTGAAGTATAAAGAAAAACAAGTACTGTGAAATTAACTACAGACAGTTCATGAACTGTTGAAAGAAAGACATTTAAGTTTGCAAAACTTTAAAGTGGTTGAAGGGATTTTAAAAAAATCATGCAACATCAAATCTTGATTTCACTCACCTTTTTAAAAACACTTTTAAGTATTGATTGTGCTTTGTCCTATAGAAGATATTTTCTGCTCTTCTGAGAAGAGAAGGTATCACTGTTTTTGCTCTTGTTGCGTCATTAGCAATGGCTGGTAACACAGGAAGAGTCCATCCTTTTACAACTAGCAAGATCTTTTCCTGTGCCTGCTGCTAGCTTATCTGAATGGGTGCTCTGCTGTTCTATTAAATAACTTCATGCAAATGATTTATTTTGTAACAGTACTCTATAATAATAAACCTGATTAAGGCTAGTAATGGGCAGCTTTCATGTGGTAAGGAAAGGGAAGTTAGGCTAAGCTTAGGCTGAGCTAAGACTTTAAGCTATTTATAGTTAATTTATCTGACTGTCATATAGCAATGAGTTGTCAGTCTCTGCTCCTTTGGCCCTCCCAGTTCATACATTCCAAACACCTAGGCTAAACTCACCTAAACTCCCAAGCAACCTACCTACCAAAGAAAGCAAATATTATTGGGAACTTAGAGAAGGAAAGAAAGATTTGTATTCAATGCCATCCTGCTAAATTTAAAGGCATGATGAATGTCTAATTTGTAAAATCTTGTATGTGGCAAAAGAAAAAGTATAGATATTTAGAATTCAACTAAAGTTCTCTTACCCAGCATCAAAGTTGAATGTAAATTCTCTGAGGGCTGTAACAATAACTTTTTTACTGTT